TTTTGGAGTTCTTTAATTTTTTTGACTTCCTTTTGCATTTCATCCTTAAATTTCTTGATTTCTTGGGTGCTTTCTAATTCACTAAAATCTAAATCTTTCTCAGTTTCAATATTTTCCATCGTTTGCTCTAAAACTTCTCTTTCTTATTCGGACATTTTCACTGTAAAAAGAAATAGCCTGCGGCGAGGGCTAATATTAAGGAGATTAATAATATAATAACTGACATAATTATTGTTCACTAAAACCAATTTGGCGAAAGATGCTGCCAAGAACACCCACACAAATCTTATAGATAATATACAAGGCTACTAAAAATCCTCCTAATCACAGTCCATTAGTTCAGGATAATTTATTAGGAAGTGTGGCTTTTCAACCACCTTTTTCTACTACTTTTAAGTCTTCTAAGTTAGTTTCTATTTCTTTTAGTTCTTGGATTTTGGTTTCTTTGGTTTCTAGTTTTTCTTTGGCTTTGTCGTTTTTATCGGTGTCTGAGCCAGCGAGGATATCTTTGCGTTCTTTTTCTAACTGCTTAATCTCTTCTTTGGTTTCTTTTTGTTTGGTTTCACCTTCCTTGATGGCCGCTTTGATTTCGGCTTTTTCGAGACCTTGGAGGTTTTGATTGTTGGCTGGGCAGTCTAGTTTTGGGGCAATGAATTTAGTGTAGATGTAATAACCTGCGGCAGCGGTTAGTAAGAGGGGGATTAGGTTGAGGATCATGGTTATTTGTTTGCTTTACTCCAATTCGGAGTTTCTTCATTTGTATTCATATATTTATATTTTAACTATTTATTAACTAACTATCATTTAACTAAAAATATATTATATAACCAATCTCAACATGACTACCAAAGAAAATAAACAATTCTGCTGCCCCCTCCTCACCACCCTCCAAGAAATATATTACGAACAAATTCACGGCAAAAAATATTATCACTTAGGCTACTATACCACCTACTACTACCTCCTAAAAGACTTCAAAAAACAAAACCAACTCTGCCCTAAATGCCAAGACTTTACTAACCAATTATTCACCACTTACTTAGCCACCAGAACTAAATACCAGACTAAATAATTATGAACTGAAATAACTTTAAAGACTACTTAGAAGAAAAAGTCCTCCAAAAAAAGGAAGAACTAGAAGAAGAAAATGAAGAGGAGGAAGAAGAATCCGAAAACAAAGACGATAACCAAGATAATGAGGAAGAAAATAAAAGCGAAGAAGAAACTCCTTACACCCTCCGCACTTCCGCTAAAACCAAATACTCAGTAAGTAAAGAACCAGAACTAATCACCACCCTCACTAACCTCATTGAAAGCATTGATAACAACGAAGAAACCAATTATCACTCCCTCCCGGAACTTACTGAACTAATGAACGAATCAGGAAAATTAAAAACCTGAACAGACTACTTCCCAGACCGCCAACAAACCCACTTCGGCCAAAAACAAGAAATAGAAGTTGAAATCAGTAAAGAAGTCTGAACTATCCTCACCAAAATATTTAAAGACTACACCCGAACCGCAACCCGCAAAGAACGCCTAGAAGAATTTGCCAACGAAGACCAAATGATGAGTAAAATTCTGCTAGAAGGTTTAGCCCGTTTAAATGCCACTTCTTTAAAAAAGCAAGGATTTGATATTAAACTAAAAGAATGATTAAAAGAATACAAGGAATTAGAAACTAGTGAACAAACAGCCTTAGAAAAACAAAAAAAGCAGATTGAAACTATTTTAGCCGCTTTGGAGGGAGAAAAAGAGGAATCGGAAACCAAGAATTGATATCAAAATATCCCCTGAACCAAAGTCCTGTGATATGGATGTGGAGGAATATTAGTGATATTAGTAATTGGCTGATTACGCAGCAAAATCATAAGGTAAAAACTAAATGGAAGCAAAAAAACAGAGACAAAAATAACAGTCTATGACTGGTGTCCTAAAAGATGTAAAAAATGTCAACAGTGTGTGAAATATATTATCTCTCCTTATTATGGGCATAATTAGGAGTTTTAAGTTTATTTGAAAGTTAGTGACCAAGACCCTCCAAAAAAGCCCGCACACTTAAATGTTCATCAATCTCTGGTCAATGAATACCATATTTATCAGAAGTAATGCGAAAGTTCTTTAACTGTTTTAAAGTGGCTTGTCGAGTACGTGGATATCAGGCAGTTGGGATACTAACCTTGCGACCATCTTCCAAAAAGGCGGTAATCTCCTCCTTACTGCATTCTATTCCCACGATTGAAGGATAAGTTTCTAACTTCTCCACGGGATAAATCATGGATTGTTGATTATTTTTTTCTAATACTTCCGCTTTTCTTAAAGTCATATCAATTATCTAAAAATGTTTTACGTTTTAATTCAATTATTTTTAAAGTCTCGGTTTGCTTATGGTGGGGCATTCCTGCTTTTACTCAG